TGGATTGATAGATTATTTCAAATATGTATAAATTATTTTCACATATTTTAAGATACGTAAATAAAATCATGTTAAAACAGTTATGAGAAAAAACATGCAATAATTGAATATAAAATTCTTTTGTTTTAACTTACGAATCGAGATGAGTTATTATTACGAGTTGTTTTAGCATTACCAAATGCTTCGAGTACAGGATTCGATTGAACAATTTGATCTTCGAGAGTCATTGATTTCTATAATAAGAAAAATATTTGATAAACATATATTTATAAATGCGTGTTTTTTCATCAAAGACGAAAGACATATGGTAGCGTAGAGTGAATTAGGACAAAGTTGTGATTAGATTGATTACGATCATGAAAAAAAAATACCTTGAAGGCCTATTCACTCTCTCTCCTATCGGAAACCTATTTTTTATCTAGCTGAAAAAGTAGATCTTTGCGTGATAAAGATTTTTTTAACAAATCTAATGATACAGTGTTTATGTTGGTTTTAAAATACAGTTAAGACTTGCTGCTATAACTTAACTAAGCTCAATATTTCAAAATATTGTTTCTGTATTAACATTGTGTGATTCAATGAATTTCAAGTAACAATTTAAAAAGAATTATATCATTCTTAAAGGTGTATCTTATTATTAGAAAGAAAGATGAATATATAGAGTAATGAGTATTAAAAGTAAATTTAAAATATATTACTTTGCCATCTTCTTCTTTTTTTGTACTAGCAGCAGCGACCAATGCAAAATATTGAATGACTTTTTTCGTATTTTCTGTCTTACCAGCACCTGATTCACCTGTGATTAACATTGATTGATTTTCACGTTCTAAATAAAATGAATCGATGTTATTCAATATTTAAGTTTTGTTTTATTTCTTTTTTTCAATTAGCTTTTATATTTTATTAATATATTTAATTATCATTTTTCAATATTTATTTTATTTTATTTTGATTTAAATTCTATGATATAATTATTATTATTATTTTTGTTTTGTTTTGTTTTGTTTTATTGCTTTCTATGAAACACTTATCATGAAGATAATTAGTCCTTGTCAATCAACTTGACATCAACAGTCAACAAACTCTTCTCATTAATAAATTTATATCGTTGTTGATAAACATAAATTTGGGTGTACTAGTACCAGTGATTACATATCGGACCATTTAAGGAGATGCTTTTTTTAGCTCTTATTTCTTCTTTCATATATTTCCATTTATTTTTTCTAGTGGTTGTCCTCTTATAGTGTTGAAATAGTGTTTGCTGTTGTTGTTGTTGATAGGTGGTAGATAATCTAACTGTCTTCTCTCCTACACAGTCTGTACGAGAATACGTAAAACAATCTATGATACTGAGTCGAGAATTTTTAGGTATAGAAATTATCATTAATTTTCTCTAATGCTCATAGGATATTATCATTTGAAACAAAAAAAGATATTTAATATATATATATATATTTTTTTTTTTTGTTTACTTACCACGAAGCATATTTGAATATGCATTATCAGAAATAGCATATAAATGTGGTGGTACTTCAGTACGTTTTTTGCCACGATACATAAGTACTGTCTTCAAGGTATAAATTGGTAAACGTTTGTATGGATTGATGGCAACACAAAATAAACCTGAATAGGTCTAAATAAAAAAACACCAAAGAATATCTTAAAAATAAAAATATTAACAATAAAATTAATAAACTTACATAAATGAGCCATCGACCATAACGATCACGTAAATTATGTAAGACAGAAGCATCATTCAAATAAGTTAAATTAGCCATATCATCACAGCAAGTAAATTTAGGTGGATTCATCTGTTGAACATCATCCTTTTTAAGTGTAAGACTCTAAATAAAAAAAAGCAAACCATAAATATTTGTTTTTTCATAAATTTTTTTTTTTTTTTTGTGAATTTACATACCTCTCCTTTAGATGTTTTGACTGTTACTTGTTCACCTTTTGTGTCAGTAATTTCGGCAGGAACGAATGACTCTTTTGCATCGGGTGCCCAACATTGTTTTTTACCATCGAATGGTTGAGCTTGAAGTTTGATACGTTCTTCAGTTGGTAGAGCTAAGAATGTGAGTGTTTCTTTTAATTCCGGATCATTGGGATCGTAGATAAGACTTTAAAGAAAACAAAACAAAAAAAAACAATTATTATACTATCTCATTTTCTAATATAAATCTTACCCTTCGATTGACATTATTGTTTTTGAAGAATTCTATTCAATACAATAGAATTGATAATATATATTATTATTTTTTATTTTTTAAAGCTTACTGATAAATCTTTGTCAACTTGATATATGCAGCGCTCGTAGTTCGACTTATGCGAAACACTTGTTTTGTTAAATACCAAGTATTTATATAGTTTCTTGTTTAGTAGTCGAGAGAAAAAAAAAACGTTTATTGAGAAGAAATAGATCTATTTTCTCTCTTAGGTTTTTTTTCTCTCTATCTTACTAAATACATAAATATACTTCCGTTGGTTGGCTAAACTAAACTGGATAGATATCCAAAATTGGAACTAGTATTTTCTAGACGAACAATAATAATTCACTCGTTTTTCTTTTTTCTTGGTATGTCGATGATCAAATGTAGCAGAAACTTCAACACTGATTATATAACGATAGTAATGATTAGCTAGAAAAAACTTACAAGTAGAAAAAGAAGAAAAAAAAAACTTTATCGACAGATCTTTCTTCTATATACGGTATTTATGGAAATGTACAAAACAAGTAGTTGATACATTCTTCAGACGTAGAATAAAAACTAAATACAATGAATCTATATTGTTTATTTACAGTATGAACAAACAAATAGACTGCAAAGAATATTTATTTTTATTTTTTTCTCTATTCAATAGTTATTTCATATATTTTTGTATTATTGTTTTATCATAGAAGAAGTATAACTAAATAGTTATATTCTATTTAGCTTTCAAATACAATACGAATGTCTAACATAATAAAAAAATATACTAATTTATTTTTATGTCAACATATATAAGTAGAAGAAACAAACTGTAATATATATATATAGAATACAACAAAAAGTATATTCAAGATTAAATAAATGAATTATGGATACAAATACAGATGATAAAAGCCTCCTACAATCAGTGGCAAATGTAACAAATAGAAAAATTCAATTAACTGTTATTTGTATTGATTTTTCTATTAATTATTAATATGAAATTTTAACAAAAACAAAAAACAACTAAACAATACATTATACTCTAATTTATAATTCAACTAATTCTCTTTCATTATCCAAAATGAAAATAGAATTTCTTAATTATTCATTAATATTATTTAAACAACCTAACCTAACTATCATAAAATAATGCTAATAGTATATTCTTTTTAAGACCAATCCAAAGTCTATTTACATAACTCTATATACAGCTATTTAATCAATCATTACATGTATCAGTTGCGCTTGAAACAATCATAGCAATTGATCCCATCAATCATTTTCCATCAAGGATATACTTCATGTATGTATAGATGAAATTTGAAAGATATAGATTAACATTCTAATGTTATTCAAAAATATTAAATTTAATTCAAACAAGTTCACAAACTTGTTAAGAATAGTTTTAATTTTTATAACTATTAGTCTCTGTAGTAAACTTTAATTGAATAATCAGCCTACACTGTCAAATAGTTTTTATTTGCTTTGACATAATAAGCTTTATCAGTGTTGATGACATGATGGACATGTTAGGCTCTTGTGGTTTCTTTTTTGCTAAATTTGGTGATGACATGTAAACGATCGACGACAGATCAATGAAATATTTGTCCTTACACTACGCATAACCTTACTCTCTGACTTGCATTAAATTAGATTTTAACTTGGAATATTGACGATAACAGTTTGTTTATACCTAATATTTCATACAAATAATATATAGAGGACAATGTCACACAAACATTTTGTATAGGTTAAATTACAAAAAATTATACTATGTGAATATTCTCATTTAAAAACAAGATCATTTCAATAAATAGAAATGGTATATATTCATTATTATTTATTAGAGGTATCTAATTAGCATTTGTATTAATAAATACTAATACGTATTCTAATATGATATTTCTCTTGCTTACTATAATATATTTATCTATTTTGTGGAATCAATAAAAATAGCTATGTTATTTAAGGAAGCCTCCCCCTCCCTCCCCCCCCCCTCAAAAAATGTCAATTTTGGTCAAATTTGTTGATTTCGTGATTTATAGCTCATTAGACAGAGCTAAGTGTCTACTTTCGAATGCACTATAGTTTATTGATTTTATGATGAGATTTAAGGATATTGCACAGGCTTTTCTGAACCGCTCATAGAAGAAGATAAGGCTTTTTCTCGAAATAGAATTTTTTATTTTTATGTTTTCGTGCGTCCCAGATTTCTCCGCCATTTTAAACGCTAGAAAGCTGGGCTTGATGTTAAAATGAAGGCAAAAATTAGCTCTACAACATAACAGAGTCGGATTTTTCGATTTCCTCATTAATTTTTATAAAAAACCAACTTTTCTGAACCTATCCCCATCGGCTTTTTCATATTTCATCAGAGAAATTTTTCTAAAAACACAAGCTAGAAGAGAATCGAAAAATCGGACCGTGTTAAGTTGTAGCACCACAATCGACTACATTTTAAAACCACCTCAAACTTTCTAGCCTTTGAAATGATGGAGAAATTTGGGACGCACGGAAACCTAAATTTTGACCTATAACCTTTTGCTAACTCTTCGTAGACTCAATGCATCGATCTGAAATTTTTATTGTGAGCTGTGTAACTCGAGATACACCTCCACTGGAAATTTCATCATGATCGGATGCTCGAAAAAAAAATCTTCATTTTAGAGAGTGAGCTTCCTTAAAATATAATTTATTGTTAAATGAATTCGAACTAAATATTAGCGCAAGAATATTTTATATGTCATTTTGTTATTGTTATTTTTTTTTTCTTTTGTTCTTTAAGTTTTAATACACACAAAAGATATGTTTTTATTAAGTTTAATAGTATTTACCAATTTATTTCTCATACCTATTTTATTTCATCCATTTAATATTTGTCGACATTTTATTCATATAGGTCATGAACCATATCATGGCGAATATCTTCAAATTAATTCATATGAATCATATTTATATAAGATAATAGAATATTTGAAATCTTATATTTATATTTCTTCATTAATTAAATCTGAAAATATTTTTCAACAATTATTTAATTTTTTATTTAAAACAAATAAAAATTTATCTAAGAAAATTTTTTATCCAAATTTAATAAAATATACTAAAATGTATATATATGAACATGATTTATCACCATTTATTCAATCATTTTTAACAATGTATATTTCTTATTTTTTATTAACTTATTTTTCATCACTTGTTCATGTTTATCGAATATCATTTAAAACAAAAGAAGAAAAATCTTTAAATAATATTCGTTATCGTGCTAAACAATTAATAGAATCAAATTATATACGATGGATTATTAATGCTTTATATTGGAAATTTATTGGTGTTATTATTTCACATATTTTTTATATTATATCTATAAAAATTCTAATGCAAAGATTATTTATTTCTTATAAACATTTTCATCTTAATCAAGATTTAATTTATAGTTCGTGGAATTTACAAAAAAATATTAAATTAATTTATAAATATGAAGGATTAAAAGCTTTTTTTAGTGGTATTCTTTCACGATTAATCTATGAACTTGGTAAGTGATAATAAATGCCAAAAATAAAAATGACTATATTTTCGTTTCATTTCATTGAATTATAATAGTTAAGTTTAAAAAAGAATTAGTAGTCAATTATTCACTGATCTCTAATAAAAATTGATAACAAAATATTTGATCAGTAAAATAGATTAAATGATCAGTACCTAAATTACCAATAAATAATAAGAAAATCGATTAGTTTTCTATATATTATTTAACAGAAAAAAATTACAGATTTTATCAGTAGAAAAATAAGTTTTATAAGTAAAAAGTATAATTTAGGATAAGAAAAATAAATTCAAAGAGTGAATGAATAAGAAAATAAAAATTGAATTATTGCACTAGCAAAACAGATTTGGTATTGCTGGTCTACTTCATTTTATTCTCTGACCGATCGGCACTGGTTTTGCTGCTGCTGCTGGTTTGCAATATTTACTAGTAAATCATTTAATATACTGGTATTATAATGATTTAGCTTACTAATCATTTGATCTATTTTACTGATCACTTAAATTATAGCCATAAAAATTCTAGATGTGTAATTCATAAATCAATTTTAATATTATCAAGAGAATTTTTGAAACTTTATAAAGTATCAGTGTCCGACTCGGGTCGGATCGGGTCACGAAAAAACATATTTGACCTCGAATCAGGTCGGGTCGGGTCACGAAAGATTTACGAATTCCGAACTTCACATAAGAAAAGCAGCAATTTTAGATGAGATAATCATTTCTTTATTTCGAATACCTATAGAATATGTATCGATTTACTGAGAAGATTATCAATGTCTGAAAAAAACTCACTTTGATTGGCCAAAAACTATCCCTCACCTCGGGTCGGGTCAAGTCAGGTCAGGTCAGGTCATGCTCGGGTCGGGTCGGATCACAAAAAAAAGTAACCCGTGTCGGACACTGTAAAGTATGATAGAAATTGATTGTTATATGAGCATAAGATTTGAACAAAACAATTATTTTAAATCAAATGACAAAATTATTTTCTCTTTTGCATCTAGCAATATTATATTTCTTTTTCTTGACTAAAGTTAAATTAATCTTGCTATTTTATAATATGCAAAATTTTCATTTTGTTTTATGAATTGTATTCGAAACTCTATCATAAATAGAGACACAAAAAAAAACTTTTTATTAAGTTTTTTGTATATGCAAAGATGATAATCGAGTAGTATATTTTTTTGCTTATCAAATATTTGGTCAGTCATAGAAAGACCAAACAAAAGGAAAAATATCAGACGGGTAAAATGCCGTAACTACAAAAATATTGAAAAAATTAATGAGATATAGATTAGAGTACTGCAACCCGTAAATCGAATACCCGTACCTGAGTACAGGTGTGAAAAGTAATGATTTGTAGCCAATACAATCTTCATTTTTAATAGTACGCTTCATAAAAAATTTGAAAATATGTATTTTTAATATTGCTATTCAATAGCGATATCCTTGGTTACATAGTTGATTGGTCGTTCTGTTCAACTATCAGCGATGTGTGAGAGTAATGCCACTCAGGGATCGGATATGAGCATGAGTAGAGTACGGACAAATAATTTCTGTTCGAGTTGGGTACGTGTACGAAAATTTATACCTGTGCAGTACTCTAGTGTGAGTGTGGATTTGGTTCTTCTCCTCATCAAAATGCTACACCGACACCCAACCTTTAGATTTAGGTATAAGAGTACAATAAACCAAAACAACTACTACTCAATGTCGTATAGATAATCTTGATGAACAATATTATAATGATTTTATAAGCGTAATGAAATATTTAGATGGTTTGTCATTTACAATTACTAAACGGAAAAAATGACATTATATTATTTCTTTCTTTTTTATCTCTTGACTTGTGTATGATCTACGATATAATGTTAGTATTATACCAAAAATAAAGAATGTTTTGTTAGTTGAAATTTTCGATATATTTCCTTTCGGCTGTTCTACAGCATAACAAATATTTAAATCTGATTAATGAAAACATTAACGGGTGGAGCAAAAGTTTTGCATTAATTTTGCTTTTGATATAATTCAGCGATGCAATGTCATGGGCACTTGATGTTTGTTTTTTTGTTAGAAAGAACAAAGTGTCTAGTGCAAAAATATATAAAAGAATTTGAGTAGAAATGTTTTTCGAAGCTCACAAAAGGCACTGAAAAACTATTTCGTAACTTTTTTGACCTTAGAAAATACTTCCTATAATTAGACAGATTATCTTTTTATTCATCTAATCCATATTTTATTATGTAAGGATCGAGCATTATTACTGTACAAAAAGAGATTTTCTACATGTTTTATAACGATCGAAACGAACGCTTTTAAGATATCATCTAAGTCACGGATTTTTCATCACTGTCAACATCTGTCGAAAAGATAAACTCTACTCTGAGAGAGAGAGAGATTGCCAGAAGCTATATATTTTATATGAAAAAGAAAGTTTATTGAGTCTTCTACCAATCGATATTATTTGGAATAGGACACAGCTTCCCTGTCAGATATTCAAACAAAAGTTTATTTTCGTATTAAAAAGTCAAATTCGAACAATTAATTTTAACTTAAATCAAATTGTCTTCTGTTCATTCTCTTGTATGCTATATCAATTATTTTAATACTAAATATAAGCATTCGTTGTAGTGAACAATTGTATATAGATGGTACTCGAAAGTAGATAATGAAACAGCTTAGACAAATATTTTTGGATTAAAAAAAAATGATCGAAGTTACGGAATAGTTTTTCAGTGCCTTTTGTGAGCTTCGAAAAACATTTCCAATCAAATTCTGTTCTATATTTTTGCACTAGACACTTTGTTCTTTCTAACAAAAAAAAAACCATCAAGTCTCCACAACATTACATCGCAGAGTTATATCAAAAATAAGATTAATGTAAAACTTTTGTCCCATCCATTATTATGATAGAAAAATAGCTTTTTCTTTTATCTTTTCAGAGAGAATTTTATAATCAAAAGTCAGTTAAAATAATTAACTATTACTCTTGTACTTTTGATATCATCATAAAATTTTGAACAGTCGTCTAGTGTTATCAAACTGTAAATACATAATATTCAACGTCTCCGCAGTCATTGATTTGATTCTTCGTGATATATCAAATAATATGTTATAGTCTATAAAAAAAAAAAAGAAAAGAAATAATCATAAGATCGATAAGAATTATCTATAAGACATTTATATTTCTTTAACCTTGTTCGATCTCATAAGAATATGTTTATTACGAAAAGATCACATTTAGAATGAAAATGACAAATCAAGTTCATTCGTTTCTAAGTCAATCATACATAATCGAATTTCTAAACAATCGTTAATTTCTTATATAAACATAAATCTATTCTAATTTTATCTATAATCAAATCAATATTAAACATTGAAATATACATTTTTTTTTTGTAGGTATTACTCTATTACCACGTTTAATTTGGTGGCCATTTCGTTCATTTTTCTTTCATTCAACAATAAAATCTTATTTTCGTGCATCATCAATCGAACTTTACTTTATTCAATGTATATGCGAAAATTTTCTTCGATGTTTTTCTGTCTATCTTCAAATATTTGCTCGTATAACAACATTAGATATTGTCAATCAAATGCATGAACATATCAATATAAAGAACTATCCTCTATTATCGCTATTACATCATCATCATAATATTAAACAACCTTGGTCATTTCTTCTATCAAT